ATAGCAAGTTTCACAATATAAAAAAGATCGACGATCGATTTTGTCACATGTGATAAAACGAATGTCCACTATGCTCAGTAATAGATGATTATAACCATTTTATGGGAGGTGTAGACGTAGCTGATCAATATCGTCATTATTACAACACCCAAATAATAGCTAGGCGAACTTGGGTCCCAATCTTTTTTTGGTTATTAGACACAGCCATTGTCAATTCTTTCCTAATATATAATAAATGCAATGGAAAGTTGAGTCATAAAGAATTTAGATTGAATTTAGCTTGGAATCTAGTTACATCAGGGTGGAGTGAGGGTGAAAATAATAATGACGAAAATATACCTTCTAAAAGTAGTTTTACAAGAAATAAACCTGGACAACACCTTCCTAAAAGAGGACCTTGAAGTGCTTGTTACTATACAGATATATAAGGTTCATGGATGAGGGAAAATCTGCAAAAACTGAATTCAAAACTCAAGTTTGGTGTAAAGTATGCGAAGTTCCTTTATGTCTTAATGAGGAACGAAACTGTTATACAGATTTTCATGAACTTTGATATATTCCTGTTAGGGATGTTAAATGGTCCGTCCGGTCCAGTCCAGTCCAGTCCATGTCAGTCTTATTTAAAGTCAGACCAAACTGTCAGTTTTGAAAATGGTCCGTAAAAGACCAATGGTTCAGTCCAGACTGCAGTCTTTATTAATTCAAACAAATCATAATTTTTTTATTGAAAAACTTTTAAAAATTTTAATTTTAATTTTAACTATATTAAAAATAAAATACATATTATTCATCAATTAACCCAACCCAATTTAACTCTTCATCACCTTCTATATTTTCATCAGGTGTAGATGTTTCTTCAACAACATCTAAAATAATTTTATCATTATCCATTTCTGAAAAATAGGATAACCAACTTTTTAGACATATAGCAGCTCTTGCAGTTTGTGGGTGAAGCCTTGATCTTGTTTTATGAATAGTGTGATTAGCAAGTGAAAATAATTGTTCACAAGGCACAGAGGTGGCCTGAACAGTGAGATAATCTTTGGCAATCCTTGCTAACATTGGAAATTCTGTTTGATGTGTTTTCCACCAATTTAATGGATCAATGTTTTCGTTGGTAACAATTGGTAGTTGTAAATAACGTTCAAGTTCATCTTGTGTTGATGATTGTGTGTGATGATTACTATTATCATTGTTATTAGGTAAAGAAATCATGGAGAGAAAATAAGAACGGCTATTTGGATTAGGATTTTGTTGTGAATTTTGATTAGACAATTGTTGATTCAGTGGTTCATATGTATCTATAAGATTTTTAAATTCATTTTTTAATTCTTCAATTTCTTGTAGTGTAAAACCAGATAATTTATTTCTTGGATCAATTACAGAACTGATTCGTGTGTTATTTTCCATGAGACTCCAATATTCTTTTAATTTATGATTAACTGAATCTGCAATTAAATAATGTTCATTGTTGCCATCAATTACCTTTTTCAATTCTTTAATTAATGCAGTAAAAGTAATGCGCACATCACTTAAAGTGGGTGAACTTGATGATAAAAATTTGGTTGCAATGTATAATGGTTTTAAAATAACACACAAGTCATCAATTTGTTTCCAATCATTTTCAGTCAAATATTCTAATTCAATACTACTAGGATTGTTCCTGACAAGTCGTTGGTTGATTTCCTTTGTTTCTATTTATCTTTCCAGCATAAGATAGGTTGAATTCCAACGTGTAGGACAGTCTAAAATAGGAGCCAAATACTTCACATTTTTAGCTTGAGATATTTTTCTTAATTCATCACATAACAAAACAGAATTTTTGACTTTTTTTACGTAATTTTTAAGCTTAGATAATTCATAAAAAATTAACTCCATCCCATGTTTAACTGCTATATTGATAACATGTGCAGCGCAACGCTGATGAATAAAATTATAATTATAAAAAGTGTCTTCCAAAATTTCTCCAAAATCTTTGCAACCTTTAATCATATTGGAGGCATTGTCACTGGTTATTGCTAATGTTTTAGTACATAAATTAAACTCTTCAATAATATCTAATATCTTATTAGCAATATTTATCCCAGTATGTTGCTCTTGTATTTGGATAATATCTAAAACAAAGTTTCTCATATTCCAATTATTGTCTATATAATGAACAGTTATACCAATAAATGCCTCATTGGATAAATTGCTCCAAATGTCGGTGGTAAAAGAAACTTTTGAGTCAAATTTTTCAAATTGTTGTTTTATTTGAATTCTGGCCCTATTAAATTTTGTGACAATAATATTTTTGACACTTAATCAAGAAGGAATAGCATACTTTTCATTCAAAGATGATATAAATTCATGAAATGCTGGACTTTCTACAATAGTAAATGGTAAGGTATCTATGGCAATCCAATTAACCAGTTTATCAGTAATTAGTTTATATTCTTGAGAAGTTGTTGAATATGGTATAACTCGATTAAGTTTCAAAGTGGTCTGTTTCATTTTTTCATAATAACCTGTATGTAAGTTTGTAATATGTCATCTCAAAGTTTGTTGTGGATGACTTATTACTAAAGATGCTTTTGCATGTTTTACATTGAGCCTTGCCATTGTTAATTTTATTAAAGAAAATCCAAACATCTGATTATACATGCTATGGTAATTATTTTGCCAAAAACGTAATATGTAATACGTAATACGTAATTACGAAATTAATTACGAAATTAATTATGGGTGACGAAATTAATTACGGGCGACGAAATCAATTACGCGTGACGAAATCAATTACGCGTGACGAAATCAATTATGAATGACGAAATTAAATGACACCTATTCAGTGTTGGAAATTCGTCGATCTTATGATCTGCAAAAAAAAATTTGTGCACATATGAACACAAGAAATTTTTATTT